AGACCGAACTGCTTGCTTATGTGAGGTTCTTTCATCTCGCTTGTTCATCTTGTTTTGAGTACTCGACGAAATAATAGCATAAGAGAAGATATTGGACAATTGAGTCCACTTCGATATCACACCTATTTGAGTCGGGAGTTCCTCCTTTGATTCTAGCCTTGCTTGGAGGGAACCAAAGAGTATAGTATCTCGGATAGCCTTTTTTGCGTTCGGGCATGCATGCCCATATTCAACGACCTACTGGATGCTGGATTAAGAAAGGAATAAACAACATGAGTTGCCGCGCTATCGGAATACAATTGATTCAACAAGCACGTATGGATAGGTTGGGCATAGCTATTTCAATCTCTCTCGCACTCGCTCTCCTGATCGACCAGACTGAATCGATACAATGAAGATAACAGATGGGAGAGTGACCCTAAGTACAATGATTGTCTGCCCTATGAGGTACCGTATTGGGCTCATGTTTTTCTTTTGCCCATCAGGCATCAGGGGTGATCCATTAAAACATTGTCCACAGGCCCGACTTAATGGGGATCCATTTACATAATCATAATCTAACCAGTGGTCACATTCAAAGGATATAAGAATCGGTCTATCATGCACTTAGTTTAATCTAATGGATCCTTGGTGCACACTTTATAAGGTAATTTTTCCGAAGATGATTGATCGATGCATGCGAATAGCTAGAAGAGGGGAAGACTGGCAGAGCATAAAGTCATGGGGTTTGGTTTTGCAGATCATCATCCTAAGTGGTTGAATCCAACCTGAGGTATGTTATATTATAGATAGAGATCTTGATTGATGCATGGGTCTTCCTTTTTGATTTTTAGTATGGGTTTCCGCCTCATCCAGTACATGTATCTAAGCTGGTAGTATCAAGTCGATGATACATTAAGACTTGTTGTTCAATAGGCAAATATAGGAACTATTACCACCCTATTATAATATAATAATAGAATTACGGACCCATATCTACAAATAGGATATCCGTGAGAGACTTTCTTTTACTAAAAAGAATGAATGCATTGATTGCATTTCAAGTGAGATGTCCAAGAGAAAAAGAACGAGGTTTTGAAGCGACGAGAACAAAAAATCGTGAATGAAAGAGCGTGACGAGTTTTTCTCCATTCGAGATGTTAGAAGGTGCAAAATCAATAGGTGCCGGAGCTGCTACAATTGCTTCAGCGGGAGCTGCTGTAGGTATTGGAAACATATTTAGTTCATTAATTCATTCTGTGGCAAGAAATCCATCATTGGCAAAACAATTATTCGGTTATGCAATCCTGGGCTTTGCTCTAACCGAGGCTATTGCCTTGTTCGCATTAATGATGGCATTTTTGATTCTATTTTTTTTCTAAGTTTCTCCTTTTGAAAGGTGTAGTCCCTGAGGACGAGGCCCCCAGCTATGGGGGGAAAGAAGAGTGGGTATGCGGGCTTCTTTCACTTTCGTTTTGGAGAGAGTATAGTAATAGTATTGTAGAGCAGCAAAAGGCATAAAATAAATAAGGGGTTGTCTGATCTCCTTTGTTATATCTCTTCTTTGGCTGCAGCTAGTAGGAGGAAGAATCAAAGCTCTTAGGAAGATCGAGTTTGCTTCCTTGATTCTCGTCCCGGAACCTGGGGTCAATCAGTCCAATCCCTTTCTGTCCTAATGGTCTTGTCCGAGTCCGTTGCTTTCTCTTCCTTTCCGACCAACTACTACCTGGTTCTATCATACTAGCTTAGACCCCTGCTTCTGAGTGTGGCCAAGCAAGCTATTAACATTAACAAGCGAAAGGCCTTCAGAAGAACACTAGATTTTATCAATTGTATCTTCTTTTAGTTTTTAGTTAAAAAGGAGCTACTCATTCTCATTCATGTTAGTGTAGATGCCATACGAAAGAGATCGGAACGTTAAAGATCTTTTTTCCCTTAAGGCTATCTAATAGGTCTTTCTTCGTGCTTGGATTCCTTCTCACGAGTCCGAAATGGAAGACTCGAGAGTAAAGTACAATATCCCCTTTAGCTTGAGGGGACTGAGCTTGACTTTCAGGATTGGGATTGGTCCATTCGTTAAGCATTGGAATCGCTTTGCCCGCTATTCCTTCTCTTTCTGTCTATCGTTTATCTTTTTATATTTTGCGAGTGAAGTTCCTCTCCTTTTAGATGTGCATTCTCGATCTTTTTAGTCTCTTGAATATTCGATTTAGAGTTAAGAGGTGTCTATGCCACTAACCAACTCCTTAAAGAAATACAAGAGCTTCTCCGGCAAACCACTAGAAGTACCCATCGAGTCGAGCAATTGGATGCTAAGAAAGGTTTCTTTCTGGGCTAAATTCTAAGCCTATAGACTGAATTAGGAGAGCAGAGGTTTAATCCAAAACCAGGAAAGCAAGCTATATCGAAGCCCAATGCCAAGCAACACCCTAGACTACAAGTGAAGAAATAGGGTTCCACTAAGCGCCCTTAACCCGACACAAGATGGGACCCTATTAGGTAGGATAGTGGGCTTAGTCAGCCCAACATAGGTTGTCTACCAAAAAGGGGAAGTTCCCGTGATTGAATGTTTTTGGATATCCTACCCTAAGACGAGAGGGTTGGGCTTAGAACAAGACCCATCAGTGGATAAGATCACATCTTCATAACAAAAGGTGTACACGTTCGGCCTCACTCAAGGTAATGGGCCAAACCTAACGAGTCCAAACAAATTGGATCTTTTTGTATGACAAAACCACATATTGGTAATTTTTTTCAGTAATTTATTTCCTCAAGCAATAGGGTTTTACCAGTCCCAGCAGAGCCTGTGATGAACATGGATTTTCCCTGAGGGATGGCAGACAAAATATGCTTCTGCTCGTTTCCCCATACTATTGGAGTGAAGGTTAGCCCAATGTTAGCATTCAGATCCATTTTCAGCCCTGGCCCGGAAATGCCACCTTTTCCTGGCTTTCCAAACAAAGCCCAAGTCCAGTCCATCTAATTTACTTTTTTCCCATTCCAGGACGGCCCAGGCCGCTATCCGAGTGCAATCGGCAAAAGCAAGTTTACCTTACTTATATTAATAATATAATTCGTTCTGCTGTCAAAAGTAGGGAAAAGTGTCTGATCCTTTCAATCAAGCGATAGAGGCAGAGGCTTTACTTCTTCAGCCTACGCTAGGACGGAGCTGCTGTCGAGTGACGATTGGCCGAGGGGAGTTCAATCATGAAGCTGGGTACAAATAAGCCAATAAAAGACAAGTAGAAGCCAGTGAAAGAGGAGTAGTCAGGGTACGACGAAGCACGCCTAGTACGTAAGCGAATACGGATCACGTGGGTTTGTACTGATCCGCTTTCGAGCTGTCGAGTGAGGATTGCTCCATCTATGAAGAAAGGACGCAGGGGGCCTCTCTTATTGGGGGTTACTCTCTTCTCTGATGTGCGCTATATTATTAAGTTCTATTCCTGAAAGAGTTTTCGGGATTAAGCCACGTGGCGAAACCCGCGAAAAACGAAAGACTCTTTTTTTTCCCGCTTAGAGCTTCCCACGTCTATAAATAGAAGCTGCTTTCTCTATTTGGCAAAGCAAGGGGATATAGATATGGATCCACTAGTTACCACTTTAACGCTTTTTCAAATTGAGCAAGCAATTATTAATGTAGAGAACGCAAAGCTCCAGCAGGAGCAAACCCTGGCTGCCTTCTGGGAGCACATGCCTCCTGTCGAGGAGGAGGTCCTGGTAAAGCGGATACAAGAGCTCCGGGACCATATTCGCGCTCTGGAAGAACAAAGGAGGGTTCTCATCCGAGAGCGTGAATTGCTGCTTATCAGGGCGGCCTCCATCATCTGCAGGAGACCTGGGGGAAACTACTAAGAAGTCCTTTGTTTTTGCTTTTCTTTTAACTTAATATGTTGTTTGTTTACTTTGTTGTAATGTTGTGTTTAGTTGTGTGGCTGGTTTGTCTATGTGTGCGTAAGCTTCATAAAGGGTCCGTCGACTCTTTCTAGAAGATTTAAATAAGTGTCTGTAGACGCAAAGTAGTGTGTTTTAATGTATGGTGTTCTTTGTCTTTTTTAGTTGAGATCTACTCCGGATGCTTACTGGAGATAGACTCCTATCTATGCTAACTATGAAAATATAATAAATAATAATGTTCGTAAAAATGTGCTGAAAATTTAGAAGGTGTAAGCTCAGTGTACTGGAGATGCGCTTATTAAGCCTTTCTAGCTTTGAAGCAAACTTCTTCCTTGAGTCTGCGCCGTTTTAAAAACCAAACCCTAATCTTGCTAGTTCAGTTCGTGTGTTTTACGTGAGCGCGTTGAACTAGTGTGCATGGACCTTAGCCACGAGTTTTTCGGCCTAGACGCTAATAACACGAAAACACTTTCTTTGGTCCTGGGTTTTCGATGTTTTTGCGCTTAGTCTTGCTTCTTTGGTCACTTCACTTGAGCTATAAATTAATTTATCTGGGTTCCCTGCGGGGCTACCTCGCTCCATGAACTCACTCCACTCCCCCTTACAGGAATATAAGACTCGGTAATCAGTATAAAAAAAAGAGGGAAAAGGTAGCTCCTGAGTAAGAAGATAAAGAATAGTTCCTTTATTTCAATTTAACTATTTCTCTTTCTGTAAGCGAAGGTATCGAATGACTTTCTATTCAGCTTAGTAATAAATTCCATCGCTTACTGTTCTCCTTCGGATCCTTAGTAAGTAGTCAGTCTGTTGCTTGTTTAGTAAAGGTCACTTCCCTTTTCTTGCTAAAGAAAATCACCATCTCCTGGGCGATCCGTTCACAAAGTCCTTTCCCATTCTACCTAGGGCAACATGTTGAATGAATATTCATTCCGGAGAGCCAAGAGAGAATGAACTGCCAATAGACTTGAATGAAAAGATAAATAGAATAGAATTGATTACAGTTGCAGAATCAGAATAATCGGAACTATTCTTTATCTTCTTACCGTTCGTGACCCTATTAGTGAGCCAACAAGCAACAAGTAAACTTCCAAAGCTTCTAACAAGCAAGCTTCAATCGGTAAAATCCCCGAGTGAGGTGCCCTAACGCTATACTATAGGCTTGAGCTAATCATTCCTTCCTCTTGCGAGCAAGCGATTTCACATTCTTCTCCCTATCAGGCCTTTTGTCCTCGTAAGCAACGGTATTCCATCACTTAGTAGCTATGGTATTCAATCACTTGAGCTAAGTGAAGAGGTATGAGATCACTGAAAGGAGAGGATTGAATCGGATGCTCGGATGATCGACCGATAGGGAAAGGTTATAGCTGTAAGAAATGCGGTTACTACACTCTTATTTATCTGATTCTCGTTCGCCCACTTGACTTCTTCCTTCTTTGGCGCTGCTGGAGATGCCCCACAAGGCCTTCTTTCTCAAGATTTCACGCGGTGAACAAAAGGAAGCAACGCCGCTACAAGCAATAGAAATCAACGTTTATTAATCCATTTCAGTAGGTGGCGGTGTACACTAAGTATCAACAAAGGACGCTTTCTCTCACCCAGCCCTTTGGAGGTGTTAACTCTTCGCCTTCGGCTTTCTATTGAATGATCCATCTGGTGTGTTATTTATACTCCCCCAGTTAGGGCTTCTCCCTTTTCAATCTACATGGCATACGTACACGAATGAATATTCAAACTCATCGACTCGGCTCAAAGCATATGATCAAAGCTCTAGTGGCGCACATAGCAATATCAGAATCGAATTATCGTCGGCCTGACCGGCAGTAATAGCGAACTAACACTGTTCTAATAGAAAGGGGGAGTCCCTCTTTGCGGTAGATAACACAACCGAACACAAAATGAAGCTTTCAGTCTCGCAAAGCATCTGGGCGAGCCGGAAACAGCCAGCAAATCGATAACTGAACAAGAGGAAGTAGAGCGTCTCACGACTCTATATGCTGTACCACATACTAAGACCTAAAGCCGTTCTTAATAGAAGTCCCTAGGAGCTGGTTCCTTGAAAACTCTTCCCTTGACTTCTATACGAACTAGTCAAGATTTCACTTCTTTTTCTTTGCCTCTACCAATTCCTTCGTTGAGAAAGAAAGCAATAAACGCTCAGGTGGAGGAGGAATTTAGTACCAAAAGCAAGCCGGTTCAGCCCCCCTATTAAGCATACGTTTATTACCAGATCCGATAACAGCGATTCTCCGTCTCTGACCGGGAGGTATCACATCTACAGACATTAGCCCCAAATGCTAGCTCGCATTATTAATTAATAGTAAGTCGCTACATCATGCTTTTGAGGAAGCTAGGAAAAGAAAATAGAGACTCCCTCCTAAGAAAGGATCTGCTAGCCTTTCTTTCCCGTCCTGTCATCCGGCAAAACATTAGGTTTAGCTTATATAAATGTGTTGGTTGGAGCAATGGGATTTGATTCCCCTGATCTACGATCACCCTCTTCAATCTATATTCGACAGCTTGAAGAGGGCTTGCTTCTTGCTAAAGATAAATTATCTCATTGAAGAAGGCATCGCCTGCCCAATGACAAGCAAAAGACGAAGAAGGAACTTACTAGACCTCCTTGCGCCCATAGCTTGACCTCAGCCTTGAACTACCTGCACGGAAGCCTTCCCTTCCAGGCGCGCAGACATACCATCTTTAGTGAAGTCCCTCCTTCCCCTAAAGAATCCATTTCGTCAAAGAAGGATGAAGCAGGCACACTTACTACTCTGATTGGGCGTGGACTGGGAAAAAAAAGTAGCAGCTAAAGGAAAGCTATAAAAAAGGTATTAGCGAAGAAATTTCAAAAAATAGAAAGGAAAGAGGCACCACTCGCGAATCCTTTCTTTCTTGGTTTCGCTACCTGTGATCAAAACAATTAACGTATTAGATATATCCATCTTTTGGTCCAGTCAAGAAGGAAGATAGGAAGAGGCATCTGTCTATCTAGCCCTTAAGTACACATTACAGGTTCAAGTCCTCTATTTATCTGTCTTAGTTGTTCTTGGTCAGAAGGTTGAGCATAGAATGGCAGTTTCGCGTACTCCTCTGTCTTTTTCCTATCTTCTCTCGGAATTAGGTGTAGCTATATCATAAGCTCATGTTTCACAGATATTGACTTTTATTTATCTTCCATGGCTAATGTAAGGAAATGAGACGACTCTTTCTTGAACTATATAACAAAAATATCTTCCCCTCCACACCAATCACGAGTTTTTCTCCATTCCTCTCGTATATCGTCGTAACGCCCTTAATACTAGGTTTTGAAAAAGACTTTTCATGTCATTCCCATTTAGGTCCGATTCGGATCCCTTCGTTGTTTTATTTTCCTCCCGCACCTTTTCCTCGAAATGATAAAGAAGATGGTACACTCGAATTGTATTATTTAAGTGCTTTTTGCTTGCCAAAGATCCTACTTCTACAATTGGTAGGTCACCGGGTTATTCAAATAAGTTGTGTTTTATGTGGTTTTCCCATGTTACAACTTTCGTACCAATTCGGTCGATCCGGAATGGATCGGTTAAACATTCTATTAGGGAGCCTGGTCTTTACTCTTCTGTGTGGTATTCATTCTCGTTTGGCTCTTGGAATCACATCCAGCAGTGGTTGGAACATCTCGCAAAATCCAACCACTTCACCTACTTCATTGCCCCCAACCGTATCTCGTACCTCTATTGAAACAGAATGGTTTCATGTTCTTTCATCGATTGGTTATTCCTCTCCATTCGTATCTCTTTTTCCAATTGCGGTGTCAATGAGTTTACAAGATTGAATGGCGCCATGCCCAGAGTTGGTGAATTGCTACTTCAAAAATGAAATGAGAGGCCATTCAAGCTCCGACACTGTATGCATACCAGCACCATGGATATTTTAATAAATCTATTGAGGAAGGGGGCTGAAATGAAGTGCGACCAGATCTCTGGCCTAACAGACCAAACAAATCTTGCCCAACTACAATCTTTCAAAGCATGGCAAAACGCCCTCCCCATCTGTCCCACAAATAGGGCAATTTGTGATCCCTCTTTAGAATTTCGCCAACCATGTTCGTTAATAAGCGATCCCTTCTCGCCAGCTATAGGAAATGCTTAACACGATTAGAAACTAAAAAAAAAAGTAATAGAAGTCTAGTCGGTCGAGTACCACATAAGGAGACAATCCTATCAAAGTGAATAATCCAATGACTTCCTCTTTTTTTTCCTTATTCAGGCCTCTTTCGGTTGTTATCTAGCTTTACCGAATGAAGTTAGTCATCTTCCTTTTCCGCTTTCAGACAAGTAGCTAAGTCGTCTTAATCCAGCGACGAAAAATCTTGCGCTAGGAGAAAGGCTCAATCCCCTCGCTTTGTCGCCCCTATCTCGTTAGTCGTTGCTTCTTCCCTCGCCTAAACCTAAATTAGTCCTACTCCTACAGCTTGCGCCGAAGATTCACTACCAGCTCTTTTACCGCCCGTAGTTGACTGATTGGAGTCAGGAACTACTTTTTGGAATATTGCCCTTTCTTTTGACTTTACTTGCCCAAAAGAAATTATATTCCTTGACACTATATATAGTTGGCTGAAACCGGACCGGAAAGGCCTTCAAACAATCCCGTACTCCTGGCTCTAGCCTGCTTCACTGCATGAAACAAACGGTTAGGTTAGACCTCTGTCTGGCATTTATTCCCTAGAGACCTGTCCCCCCAACATTTCTTTTTGGTCTTAAGAGATAGACTTGGCTCTCTTATCTTTAAATCTGGACTTGCATGTGTTCCGCATATGACTATTTCGAGTGATTGCTGCTATCTGGCTTGAGTTAGACAAGCAGAGAAGGATCTTATGCCACCGGTGATCGGCCTGTCTGTCGCTACGCGAAAAATGACACAGAGTCGCCACCGGATTTTATTTATCCCACGGAGGGAAAGGGAAATAGCGATAAAACCTT